AGCTCGCCATGAAGAGCACGAATCCCAGCGGTGCAAAAGAAACTCAAGGAAAAACAATCACTGCGAGATTTCGCCTGGTTTTCCATTAAAAAGATCGAACCATTCCTAAAAACAGAATATGCAATAAATTATTGAAACGCACGGCTGAGGTGCGAGCTGTAATTTAACCATAAACCTTAAAAAATAACAGCTTCAGCTTCTCAAGAAAACTTAAGTTTTTACTGAAAAACAATAACTGAATATAAAAAAATACAAAAAAATACTGATTAAAAATGCATTATTTGTAACTCAAGCTGATCTGAATGAACACACACACACACACACTCACACACACACACGCACTCACACACTCACTCACACACACACACTCACTCACTCACTCACTCACACACGCACTCACACACGCACTCACACACACACACGCACTCACTCACTCACTCACTCACACACGCACTCACACACGCACTCACACACACACACGCACTCACTCACTCACTCACTCACACACGCACTCACACACGCACTCACACACACACACGCACTCACTCACTCACTCACTCACACACGCACTCACACACGCACTCACACACACACACGCACTCACTCACTCACTCACTCACACACGCACTCACACACGCACTCACACACACACACGCACTCACTCACTCACTCACTCACACACGCACTCACACACGCACTCACACACACACACGCACTCACTCACTCACTCACTCACACACGCACTCACACACGCACTCACACACACACACGCACTCACTCACTCACTCACTCACACACGCACTCACACACGCACTCACACACACACACGCACTCACTCACTCACTCACTCACACACGCACTCACACACGCACTCACACACACACACGCACTCACTCACTCACTCACTCACACACGCACTCACACACGCACTCACACACACACACGCACTCACTCACTCACTCACTCACACACGCACTCACACACGCACTCACACACACACACGCACTCACTCACTCACTCACTCACACACGCACTCACACACACACACACACACGCACTCACACACACACGCACTCACACACACACACAGACTCACACACACACGCACTCACACACACACACACACACGCACTCACTCACTCACTCACTCACACAC